GTCTGTTTGTGTTCTTCGGCGTCTTATTGTGATTTGTTTAGGGATTTGTTATCCCCCAGGGGAACACGTTCTTACGTGTTTACGGGTCTTAGCGAACCCGGGGTCCCGAGCTCTTGTTAGGTTGTTTGTAGGAATATCTGACCAGCTGTTCAACTCTTTTGACTTTGATTTAGGGAAATAGTTGCAATGTTTGTTATTGGTAATCTTTTTGTTCATCGGTTTTTCTTTGTGATTGGCATTAGTTACTTGTTTAATTGATTGTCCTCTTTATAGTATTAGATTTATTTGTTGTTAGTTTTATGAGAGGTATTTCTTGGTTTTTTTTTTTTTTTTTGGTTGTATCTTATTTTGTATTGAATAGTACTGAATTTTTGCTACTAAATAGGAATATGATTTTTACTTTAATATTCTTGGTTTTGTTCTTCGGTTTTTTTTTTTTTTTTGTGATTTGTTTTAGGTATATGTTTGATGGATTGTTGCTTTATGTGGTATTGGATATATTTGTCTATTTCAATGAAAGGTATTTTTTGGTTTATTCCCAATTATTTTTTAATGTTGTGTTCAATTGCTTTAGTTTTTATATTTAATTTCAGAACATGGATTTTCTTTTTTGTATCAACAACACATGTAACCTAACCAAGGATTTTTCGGGAGCCAGGTAATCACTTTTAATTTTTTTTTTTGTTAAATTTTATACATTAAATATTTAATGGAATAAAAACAAATTCATCTGATTTACATAAAATAATTTAGATCTCTTAAATCGTATGACTAAAATTAACTAACAATATTAAAATCTTAAAAAATATGATATGTCTCTTTTCAGATCATGGATATTTATCCTTTCAACCTAAAGGAAGTGTCATTGGAGAGCCGGGTAACTACTTATAATTTTTTTTTGTTGTATTTTATACATTAAATATTTAATGGTATAAAAATCAAATTAATTTTATATACATAGAATATCTTGAAACTTTTAAATCATTTGATTAAAACTTACTAATAATTATTACTCTTAATAAATGTTGCTCATAAATTTAAATTATAATTCAATTTAAATTAATCAATCTTATTTTG